GCAAGAGACATTTGTCTCTTGGTACACAAAGAGGCAGAAAGGCAGTATTTGGGACAGAACAATGGTGGCCCAAACACACCTTTTCAGATGAGAACTTCCCTTAATGGTATACTTAACACCTCCTTAAACACAGCAACTGCCTTTTGGGTTTCTACAGTATACAAATACAGAATGCCCAGCAACATTCCTAAGGGAGTGTAGCAGGAGCATGCATCCAAGCAGTGAGATAAAGGACAACATGCTGACTTGCAGTGGAGGGAGGGTGGCAAGAAAAAGGATTTTAGAGGTGATCAAAACACCATAACAATGAATCTCCTTCTTTAAGGAAAGTCTACAAGAAGAGCAACTTTCACAAGCAATCCACAAAAAGAAATTAAAAATAAATCAATCTAAAACATAAAGTATTATTATGCACAAAGATATTTAGTGAACAAAGTTTGTCCAGATGCATTAGGAATGCTCTCATCATTAGCTCTTTCTCTCAAAGAAATTTGAGCCTCTTGATTTCACTCCTCCATAGAGATTATGCCTTCTAGGAAAACACCATCAGCTTGAAATCTGGATTGTTCGAAGTGTAAATTCAACCGGTTTCAGGGCTTTCAGTAATAAGTACTACCCTGCCCAAGGACCCTCCAGCGATACCTGTGGTTTTATAATTCTTTTCCTGGTGCATTTTACTCAAAAGACACACTTCCTCTCCATTTCCTGCAAGGAAGGCCCGTAAAGAAGGTGGAACTGTAAAGAAGGTGAAACCAGTTCCGCAGCAAACTCGGAGGTCAGTCACACAAAAAGTACTGTCAATTCACAAACTAAAAAAAGATTCGTATTGGCTTCTAGTCATACGTGTTTCTTTCCTGCAATCTTTCACCTCAGCAACTAGCACAAAGAGCACAAAACACACTTTAAGCCATTTTAGGCGCCTCTAGTACTCTGTTCACACACACCTATCTCCAGGGAATACAGAATAGTCTCTAATAAGACATGACCTGCAACTTAATTGTTATAGCTGCTCTTCTCATAAACTTCACCTGATCTCCTAATACAGGGAAGGACAAACATAACTGTATCTGAGGCCAGCCTTGACACTAACAGTGCATGTGTCTTTCACCTATTTAAAACAAATATACATACATCTCGGCAGCTGGTGACCAGCCATACTAAAACAACTTTTGAGAAGCATCTAATTTAGAATTCCTCCCAGGGTAGAAAAGTTATTGAGAAGGCACACATCGGTATTTGACAAAAATAAGTGTTAACTATGTAAAATATAACTACATTATACTCTCAATTTAAATCCACATTTCACCAGCTGTAACTCCTTGCAAAGCTCCTTCTCACTTTCACTACTTTATTATGCACCGTCTTTCATATTTCCAGTCTTTGTTTTCTTTTCTTCTCCCCTCCTTAAAAAGCTATGAACCTATAAACACAATAAAACAGCCAAGATGCCTCATTACTTATGAGATTATTAGTAACATTTTAAGTCTTGTATTCAAACACTATAGAAACTAAGCTCTTTTCTTCTTTTAGCCCCAAATGTTTCCAAATGAAATGTGCTTGAGCTCTCAAAAAAGGGACAAACATCAGTCACTTAACTTTTACCAACCTGATCGCAGACGAAAAGAAAACAAAAAATAGGAAAACCGTTTTCTTATAATCCCATGCTTTTGACAGTTTAGGTATAAAGGACTGATCACTTTCCCTTACACTACGTCAGAAGAAAATCATGCTTTTATCCATATTACTGTGCTTGATCTTTTCAAGTCATGAGCAGGGCCTATCTGAAACTCAAGAAACAAACACCACTTTCCTGGCAGGCTCGCTCTTTTAATTATGCAGACCCCCTCCTTTAAATATCACCCAAATACCTCAAGGATGGATGGTAACCCCCAGTGTTTCATCGGTGCCCAGAGCAACCAACACAGTCCCATATTGTTCTCTAACGAGAGTTCCCATTCCTCCCAGAGAATTCAAATACTAAAGAAAAGAAAACGCGTTATTACACATCCTTCCAACCAGCAACAGTTACCATATTTTAGCGGACTAAACCCGTCTGCTTCTAAGCAGATTCAAGTCGTCTAGCTTGACAGAGACCAAGAGATGAGGCGTTAAAAAAAAAAAAAAAAAAAAAAAAAACCAAACCAAAAACAAAGTTACCAGCGACCACCACCACCTCTTTTGTGCTGCTCTCTTCTCCCTCGAGCAGACGCAGCCTGCTCGGACAATAACCTTAAACAAGAAGGCGAAAACCGAGCTGGCACAAGCGACCTCACGGCTGCAGCAGCTCCCCGGCCCGCACCAGCCGGCCCGCTGTCTCCCTTCCCTTTGTTTTGGTCACCAAGAGCACCGCTGACCCCCTCCTCGCTCGCCACCGTCCGCCCCGGAGGGAGCTG